AGCCAAAAGGAGAGGGCAGGATGCTCTGGGACACAGACAGGACACAGACACACAGGATTTCCTCCCTGCTGCCAACTCAGCCCCTAACAATCAGTTAGTTTTCCTGGATATATTTTTAGAAAGAAGCGGAAGGAGAGAAACCTTTCCTGCAACTTTCATTTCTGGAATGAAGTAATTGCTGGATCTTATTTCTGGAACAACAGTTCTGCCTCCTAAGAAGTGAGCACAGGGAACATAGGGAATGGCTGAAGCTGTGGAAGGAAGAGTCTGAACATGCCACAGTGCTGGAATGCCATGGATTTGTGGAAAAACCTGGAAAGAAGCTGAGGAAGAGCAGAGATACCAGGCAGCCTGGAAGATGGGATACCATGGAATTTTGAAGAGGAGTGCTTGGGCTGTGTGAGAAGCCTGGCAAGAGCATGGATTTGCTGGAAATGCAGGAGATGCATGCACAATATTCAGTTCTTCTGTCATTTAATCCCAAATCATTCCATGTTTTCCATTCTTCAGAAAGCCCTCTTTCTCATGTTGCCTGATTATATGAGGCTTTTGGCCCTCAATGAGAAACAACTGTAATGGTTCTTCAGGTCACAGAGAAAAGCTTAGCACGGATAATCCAGCTGGGAAATCTGAAAGCCTTTGGGATGATGTGTGGGGCTCCCAGTGCTATCCCTGTGTTACTTTTCTAGAAGTCACCAAGAGCCAGTCTGAGCTGCCACACATATTTGGGTTTTCAGGCCATGCATTCTACCTAAAATGTGGTAATCTGTGGGAGGAAGATGGAACAGCCCAGAAATGGCATCTTTTTGACACATGGAAGCCAGTGATTCAGTCATTTCACAGGTACATGGACTGCTGCAAATATGCAGCTCTTAAAAACCCTGACAGTGTTTGAAGAAGCAGTTTGACAGTGTCAGTCCCCTCGTCATCCTGCCAACTGGCCAGTCTGTTTTCCATGTAAGCCAAGGGCTCATGGAACAGGTGAGCACTTGGTTGGCCTGAGGAAATATCTCTGTCTTTGTGCATGAAGCTTTAATGACATTTCTTGATGTGGCCTTGTTCTGTGAGTGAGGAGAGGACCTCAGACTCTGAGGATGCTAATCCAGCACTTCTTGCTGACCTTACACTGACCTACATAATTTAAACCAAACTGATGCACAAGCGACACAGTTTCTGCTGAGAAAGTGCAATATGTGCCAACATGTTAATAGTACTTTTTTTTTCCCTGTCTGTTTAATCCAGTATCTTATGTGAATGGAGGGAAAAAATGATGTGCAACGTATTCCTTGCACCAAAGCTTTAGAAAAGAAAATGTAAATGCACGAGTATGACACGAACTCCCTCTCTGCGAACACGCGCTCACAGACTGGGAGCTGCCAAAGCACAGTGAGCCAACCTACAGTGTGTATGTGATCTGCTGAAGGGAGGGGACAGGCCTAATTTATGCACTTGGCCCTCAGAGCAGGGCTTACCTCAATGCTTGTCAATGCACAGATTCTGTAAATCTTTCTGGGAGAAGGAATGTCAGCTCCCACCAGGCTCTGGACACGCCGAAAATGTCGCTCGTGTAGATGATGACTTGTGTTCAATTTGCTGCAGTGGATGGGCCTGAACCAAACTCTCTTTCTTGTTCCAAACATCTCTAAATTTAGGAGTTTTTGGCAACCCAGTCCAGATATGAGTCAATAGTTCTCTGTGTTCCAAAGGATAAGTATTAGGCTGCAAAGGTGGGAGCTGTTATGTAAATGGGATAATATAAAGGAATGTCTGTATTAATACCTTTGTTATGCTCAGAGCTAAAGGTTTGCCAAGGCTTAAGTGGACTCATGATGGGCTGGACACATCCAATTAATATAAGTAATGTGATTTTTCTTGAACAAATGTGACTTCTTGGTGCACATTACAGCTGCTGAGTGTTTCAGCTCTGCTGCATCTGGTCCTTGGAGGGTTACAAATGTGTATTCTAGTGCTGAAGCTGCTCTTATTTCTGCATTTGTTTGGTATTCAATAAATGGGTTTGATTTTCAGTGCTTCTGTCAGGGAAGTAAAAAATATTGGGGTGTGTGTTACTGATGGATATAAAAGCCCCAGGGGAAAAACCCCACAGAATATGAAATTAAGAATGATGTGTCCACATGCAAAATAAGTGCATTGGACCTCCCATCTCCTTCCTAATGTCATTGCTGTGTTCAAAGATTCTACATCAAGTAAAATTCTTCCAAGGCTTCTCTCAGTGAATGTCTCATCTGAGTTTCTTCCACTGATGCCATAATTAGCATTGAACATGTTCTGCTGTTTCTCTCTTGTCCAGAGGAGGAAGGAACCATAGGTGGGTGTGGTTTATGGTGGGACTTGGTGCTGGCTCAGGGCAGGCGGAAGGTGAATGCCTTGAGCTGTGCACTTGTACTTTGGGTTTTGGTCAAGTGGGCAATTCTGCTTGGTTTTCAGGAAAGGAAACACAACTTCCTTCCACAGTCCTACTGAAGCTTTCATATTCTTTAAATGTTTTGTGATTCACCTGTCAATCATATACCAGTCTCACTCCAGGATGTCTCCTGAGTGGTCAGAATTCACCACTGGCAGATAGAGAAAACCAGTGGCACTGAGGAAGATTATTCCAATCTCTCTTCTGGCTTCCCAGGCTGGCAGGGACAGGCAGTTCCCCCGCTTCTCCACAGCTCTGCCCATGGCTCACCATGATCTCCACCTCCACTCCCTGCACAGGGCCCTTAACTGGAATTGTCCTTCCCACTCCAGTGCTCCCTTGCTGCTGTGCACCATCACCGTGCTGGTTGGAGCAGGTTTGTCCCTTTTCCCATGCTGCCTGGAATGCTGAGCACTTTGAATCATGCCCCCAGAAGCAGGAGGCAGTATCATGGAGCAGGCACAACGTGCCACATGAGGGTCAGCTTTGTGAGCTGGATCGGTGGCACTGTGCAGCAGAACACAAACTGCTTATTCTTTCACAGCTGTTCTCCCAAGCACTTTGAGCATTCATTCCCCTCAGCATGCAGGAGATTTACGTATTTCACTTCCATGGACATGGCAGGAGAGACCCTCCTCACTTGCAGATTTGTTCTTTTAATAGGCATCCAGCACAACTGGGAATTGAGCACATGTGCATGTCCAACAGAGAGGAGACCAGAACCAGCTGTAGGCACAAAGAACTGCTTAGGAGGCCCATTTTTTTGTGCTGATTTGGTAACTCATGGGCCAGCCAAATCTTCCTTTTTAGGAATGAGAAGAACAGGAAAAACAGAGGACCTCATCTTCAGATTGTATCACCCGTGGAAGGGGAGAGTTAGCAGGGAGAGAACTCTCCACATGAGGTTCTCCTCTCCCTGATGCAGCATCTGGAGCAAATAAGGTTCATTGTGGGCAAACGTGAGCTCATTGTGCCTCCACTCCAAGCTGGCAGAGCAGTCGGGGTGTTCGGGCTCTGAGTCAGTGCTGTGATAACTCGCTCGCGTGACCTGCTAATTGAAGTTTGAGATCCTTCAAGATACCAAACTGTGGCACAGACCTGCTGCTCCCAGTCTTGGCTGTCTCAGAATCCAAACCTTTTCAAATCATAAATTTTATTGCAAATCATAGAAGGACGATGTGGGGTTTGGGAGAGGCAGGCCCTGTACCCATTCTCAGTATTTGGGGTAAGTCACCTGTGCTCTGTGACAACAAGACAAGTGCAAGGAACACAGCACTCAGCAAAGCCCTTTTAGGGTCAGCCACACAGAAAGGTGAATCTTAAAAACAAAAGAAAATGGTATTAGGAGGGAAGAAGTGGCAATGAACAGAGGCCTTAATTTGATGCCAATGGGTATCTCAGAGTAAGCAATTTCCCCAAGGATTGCCCGAGATGCGAAATGAATTGTAAGAGCTGCTTTACAGGCAGTTGTGGGCACACACCTGCTCACAGCCAGGGAAAGACAGTGCGTAAATGTCTGGAATATTACATAAAAGCTGTCTGGGAGACTGGGCAGAGCAATTAAAATCCATCTCGCTTAAATGAACCCTGAGTGCAGGTCAAACAAATCTAATTTTTATTGTTCCTTAAGGAGATGTCTGCACAGGAGACAAAGGGGGGATGCAGCCATCAGGTTAAAAAATCAAGATGCCTTTAAAAAATTAAATGTTCACAATAGTGCTACAGCAAGCTGGATAAATGATATATTACAGCGATGGTTTAAAACTAATTGATGACTAATGTTGTAATGCATTTGTAGCTACACTGATCTATTATATATCTCGGCCGAGCTGAAGGGACACTTCAAGGAGAAAAATTGCTAACTGTTTTAACCTGATGGAACTCGGGGAAAAAATAGTTACTTTAGGAGATAAATGGAAAGGTTGTGACCTCCTAATGTACATCTGGGTCTTGCAATGCAAAATCAAATTATCATTAAACAGAATGTGATCGGTGATGGAATTAAAACAACTGCAAACCAGAAATTTCCGTGGGGAAGCAACAATAGCCCAGTTTGAGCTGGGAGCACTGGCTGAAAAGCTGCCTGGATAAAGAACTGGTGTAACAAGTTGGGATGGAATTGTTTTGCTCTGTAATGAAAGTTGGTTTAATTGGAGACTGCAGGAAAAACGTAAGCATCTTTACATCCATTTACATACGTAAGCCACTCTATAAACATTACTTAATTAGTGTCTAAATAATTAACGATTTACCCTAAGTTCTCAGTAACATGTGTCTCTCTGGATCTTGGAGGGGAGACAGATGCCTCATTTTCCCCTCCTCATTTTTGTCATGCCTGAGGCTCGTGCCCTCTGGGTTTTACCCTTACAGTTGGAATTTGGAGAAGATGTCAGTCAGGCTCTGCTTATTTTCACATCTAATTCATGCAAAAACCAGGTTTCCTCCCGAGGCAGTAAACTGGCCCAGATTTGCTTCAAAGTTTGGCCCAGGTTCAGTGAATGACTCACTTTAACTAAGGTACATCCATCTTCCTGGCTGGAACACACAATGGTAGGTGTTGTCACAGAGCAGATACCCCCTAGAACCTCTCAGGGATTCAGGAGCTCAGAAACCAAAAGCAGTGGCTTGTTCCATTCCCTGCTTTCCTGTTACCCAATATTCAGGACATTGGGTGGGTGTACCAAGAACACTGTTACTCAACCCTGAGTGCCAGCGTGGGGTTTCGCTTGCTAAACATGCTGCAGGGGGCTGGGATGTGCTGCTGGAAGCTGGGCTGGGAGGGGCTGCAGTCACGAGCCTCCCTGGTCCCAGGATCTGTGCAAAATTCTATGGAATAAATCTGGCACTAGGTTACAAATGAAGGTAACGTCATGGGCCACTGCTAAAATATGGATTACCTTGAAAAGGCCATGGTTAAAAGGCCAAAAATACTACTCTCAACCTCTGAATTGGTTCCCTTTATTAGGACTAGGTGAGATATGAGAGAACAATCTGACCAAGACACCCCTCACCACAGGTGACACGAATTTTCTTTGCTTGGAAATAAGTTCATGAGCAAGAACATGAGCAGCCCGTGATACTCTCTGAGAGCAACATATTCCTCTCTAACAAACTAACCTTCCAGTGGGAAGGGAAATGCTTGCAATATCAAATTGCAAATATTTTGTACTCTGAAAGGTTTGATGTTCCACAAACCTCCATATATTTTAACTGCTGTACCTTAGGCTTCCTCCTCTGCATTCATTCAGTTCTGGTTTGAAGCCCAGTTCAGGCAGCAGCTTAGAAAAATAGTTCTCTAGCTCAAGATGGAGCAGCTGAAGTCTTAATTTGGGAGGTCTTTCTTTTACAGGGGGACATTACTCTTGGGTCAAAATTTTAAGTTATTCAGGTCATGGTACTGGTGTCAGTTTTCAACACCAGAAACTCAGTGACAAAAGTACCACTGAGCTGACTTAGAACATTTATTTTCACAAAAGAGGACTAACAGTCACATCCACAGCTCTTATTGGGATTTCTTTCCTTTGCCAACATTAAAACAAAGCAACTCTAAGAGGTATTTTTTATTCCATATCAAGGTGATTTCCAAAGCTTGAGGCTAAGTAGATAATCCTGTGTGTCCCAAGATAAGGAGTTCTCAGGGTGTGCTGTGACGATGGGGACAAGGTATCAATGGGAACATCCCATGGTATTTCCATGATTGCAACAGACTGTAGGTAAGGAAACTGTTCCTGTGTTTGGATCACACTCATAAACAATGATCCCAGCAATTCTTGGAGAGGGTGGAGTTACGCACCCAGTCACATATTCCTCCTAATTTTGAAACAGTCAGACATAAACCAGCCTAAAATAAGGGAGCAGTTACCACTTATTCCCTCCCTCAATTTCTTATCCTGCTTTCTAACAACATTCCTACCTGGTTGACAGAAATGGCAAAAATGTCCAGTATTTCTGGTTTTTTATGTGTCTTGATTTTTATTTCACTTTCAACTTTTCTGACTGGTCAATGATTCAAAAAGTTGATTAAAGCTGTGATGGTTTTATCTTTGCTCTGGAAAGAAAACTGTAAAATCCAAAGGGTAGCAACCCTTTGGGGATTTTAAAGAATGGATTTTAAAGAATGGGATTTTAAAGAATGCTTGAAGCTGCTTCATTTGCTGCTTGTGCTTAACACTGGAAAAAACTCTGAACTGCAGCTGTGCCAAAGTTTTTTTTTAACTCTTGTACACACATTAAAACATATTTCTCCATACATTTTAATTTACTGATAGCATTTGCTCCATTTCATTTATACTAAGTCTTTATTAGTGTAACAATGCAAGTACGAAATTGAAAATCTACCTTTGATTGTTCTATCTTTTTCCATGTTCTTTCTAATATTATGTCAATAGTCTAAAGGAGTTTTTGATGTGATGCACTGAATATTTTGACTCAATGCTGAGAGCTCAGCACTGGGCACATCATTTACCAGCTCACTGCTGTCAAAAGCTATTTCATCCTTCCTCCCTCTTGACCCAAGCTCGATTAATCTTTCCAGAGTTTCGGTTCTGGTTTTGAAACAGTGTTGATTTTCCCAGGAAGCCTTAAGAAACTGAGCATCTGCTCTGTGCTGTTTGGGCAGCTTGAACAACTGCAGGGGGAAGGGAATAATCTCCCCCAGCCCCCTGACAGGATCACATCCCACCCCATCACAGTGCCCGGTACAGGCAGCGCTGGCAGGAAGAGCCGGGGAAACTCCTGTTTTCTGGGCCATGACCTGTGGGGCTGCAGGATTTTAGGAAATACCAGGTTAGCTCCAGGAGCAGGGAGGTGTTATAACTCCTTTTCTGTGATTCTGCACAGAAGTTTTCAACATCAGTGAGAGCATCAGTGTGTGCTTCAGATTTCCATCTGTCACACAAAGCATAAATCCAAGGCACTATGTGAGATCAGTCATGCCCAAAACATTTAAAGGTACCTAAAATGTTGGAGAATTAATATCTTAAATTTTTCTCCAGAGTCCTGAGTGGTGCAGATGTTCTGCTAATCATATATTGAAAGCTCAGGCAATGCATTAGGTTGGAAAATAGATTTATATGACAAAGATGAGGGAGAATGAACCGGATCCACAAATGTCTTTCTACTCACACTGTCTATAATCATTTCATTACAGTTATTTGGGGTTTATCCAGTTTTGCTGCGACCACCTACTGACAATGTATCTGTCAGGAAGAAGAAAAAGCACGAAATTCAAATGTGCAAGAAGACGTGCAAAACAAACCCTGTGACATTTTCTAACATGTGAATGTTCCCAAATGCCAGACTAAAACATCTCTCCAATCGTTTCTTTTACAGACTTCCCTTGTTCCAGAAACTTGGCCTTACTTAGGAGGAAACCCCATAACTGTCCCTTAGAAGTTGAATTGCATCAGTGTGGGTAAGATGTTGGGCCAAATTCCTTAATGGTGCAATTCCGTGAAAATCAGAAATCCTACACCAGGGCTGAATCTGCCCTGTGGTATAAAAATTATTTCCCCAGAGGCAAGATTTTTGGAAACAGTATCATATTTTAATTCTAAGCAGACAATTTGTTTTGGGTTGCATACAGAGCATGACTCTCTCTGCTATAGGAACCAGCTACATATATGGTGATTTTATTCCTGTTTCTCATGCTGTTTGGCCTATTTGTGTATGATTTGCAGGTGGCTACATGATCCTACAAACTTCTTTTTATGTAATGGAACAAGCCCCTGCTCCATCTAAGATTAATAAAGATTACAGTGCTGGCATTAGAACATCATTTGTACATTTTGCAACAAGTTTTGGAGAAAGGCTGTGTGTTGTTTATAATCTTGGAAGTACAGATCCCAGTTAATCTTACCCTTGGAGAACAGAGAGCTATATTTTTTACAAATTAACAGATCTTGACTGATTGCCTCCATGACTGTGTTCACTGGTTTTGGAATTCAAAGGGCAAAATAGGATCTGCCTTTTGTAGGAGGTGCCAGGTGTGGAATTGGGACACGCCGCCTGAAGGGGGTTTGAGCTGCCTTCAATCCTCTCCACACTGACTGGATTTGGCACCACTGTGTGATATATCACCACTGTAACAAACTACTTCTCACAAGCTGGTCAAATCCTATGGAAAAAGTCTTGGAAGGATGTTGCTGAAAGAATATTTAACCTCTGTTATAGTTGTTTTTCCGGAGATGTGAGGTATTGTGAAACTCAAGGAGCTCGACAAGATTTTCACAGCTTGGCTTGTGAAATTCATTTCCAGCTCGAGAGATTGTGATTTCATGATTTTGCACATCTGGATTGTGGCACAGAGCTGTGATGGGAGATGTGTGTGGCAATCTTGCCTCTGTCTGCTCCTGGTCAGTGAGGAGTCCTGGCTGTGAGTTGTCACCTGCCTGCCCTCGCCTGAGCCGTGTCTGATCCACACAGGAAAGGCTGCACAGCTAGAGTTGGCTCAACATCAGTGAGCTCAGGAATTACTTCCATATAAATGTTAATGATAATATTAATATTTCTAATATTTAAGGAGTGTAAAGGCATAGACAAAAAAGTTGCAGGGGTATCTGTACTGTGTGTTCTGTGGAGCAAACAGAACATTTTCACTTGCTGAAAACACTGTGTGCACAGACTGCTGAGCATCCCCTCTGCCACACTGCACCAGTGGGTTGCTTTTCTGGCCAGACAGTTTGGGAGGGGGGTCTTCTCCTTAACTAATCTGTGGAGATCTGGCAGCCTCCCCAGAGGGGAACCAGTTGATGAAAACAGGACTTTAGGCCAGCATTTTTTCAGCATTCACACCCCAGAAGGAGAATTTACAAAGGTGGCAAGAGCCATGCGCATTTTCCCTTTGTGCATCACTGTGTGACAGCAAAGTCATCCCATTTTCCCACCAGGATCACATGGTGTCACAAAACTTCACTTATTCTTATGGCATTGGCAGTGTGGGTTTGGAAGAAAAATCCCCGTGCTGTCTGGAATGCTCAACTGTTGGGTACCAGAGTCGGAAAACATCCTGCCTGCCGTGAACGTTAGGAAAACAGAGCAGCCCTGACTCGAGTGCCAAGTGGTTTTTTGGAAGGCTGACTCCCCTGAGAATAAAGGATATTGGTGTCCAGCCAAGAGGGCAGGCAGGAACAGGCCGTGGGCAAGACACTGGAATTTTGGAGCCTGAAATACTGTATGTTTGTTTGTATCAGTTTCTGACTTTGGTATTAAAAGGTGAGCTGCCCAAATGGGTCACAAATTGATAAAATCTGAATTATTTTTTTTCTAGCTATATTTAGAGCCGCATAAAACAGGGATTTCCCTTTTTGGCTGCTCAAGTATCTGAGAGTAACTTAATATTTCTGTTAAAAACAGAAAAAGTCCCCTAAAGGAAATTTCCTTTTTTTCCTATGGTACACTCAAAAATTCCTTCTTGTCGTTATGAAAAATTCAGTTGGTTTTTACTTCCCTATTTCCCTGTTTGAATGAATAGTCCTAATCTAATGACCCCATGAGCATTTCATCCACAGTATTCTCCAGCTTCTATGTCCTATACCACTGTTATAGTTATTTAAAATGAGATTAAAATCCACCCTCAAGTGCTTGTATGAACTGCCTGAGCATATGTGTTACAAGAACCTTTATAAATATTTTCTTCCCTTTCATTGTTATACTAATCAACACCTAAGTGGAATCTTTGGATGCTCAGAGATACTTCTGGAAGTAAAACAATTTGCTTGCCTTGTTTTGGTTTGTACCTGGATTGGTTTTAGATGAAGATTTCTGCATAGAAACCCTTGAAAATGTCACCCACAATCAGTATGTCCCACTCTTTCATTTGGGGCCCAAATACAGGTCTTGAAGCCATTTCTGTTCAGCCCCTGGGGCTGAAATGCACCCACTGGGCTGGCAGATGTTGTCTGGTGTATTTGAGAACCCTAAACCACTGGATTCAGAAGTGCCAACAATTTTTCCAGATAGTTATTTTTGCAAAATGCCCTGTTAACTGAAAAGCCAGGCCCAGCATTTGCAATTCCAGCATGGCTTTGGGGGCAATTCAGTGAGGAATTCTGCACGTGGTTTTTTGCCAGGGTGTCTCCCGTGTGAACGACTGCACTCCCAAAGTGATGGTTCCCACTGATATTCACCAGGGTGATGGTGCAAAACTTGGGTCCACAAAGCCCAAGGGACATTTTTGTGTTGATCTCAACAGAGCGGGGCTGAATCTTTATTTCCTTGATAAAAATGGAAAATGTTCCTTCCCTCTCTTTCCCCTTCACACACATATTTTCTCTTCTTTATAGAAGAAGTAATTTGTCTTTATCTCACCATTCACCTCTTCCTCTGATTGCAGTTAATGGAATTGTCACCTTTATGGACTCATGCTCCATTTCTCAACCTGTCTGGACTTTGGCCTCCAAAGGTTACCACAAGTAGTGAAGTAATATGATTGAGTCTTTTTGGACAGATTTATGCAAGATTTCTTCTGCAGCAAGTGTCACATCTAGTCTAGTTCTGCAACAGAGAATATTTCAAAGATGCCAACTGTCATCTAAAACCACTAAATTGTTCTGAGGGGCTGGTTGAGAGGACTCAGGGCCATCCCGGGCAATGCTGATTTACACTACCTGGAGCTGTATCCCTGCAGCTTGAAATATGAGCTTTGGTTAATAATGATAAAAAGAATGTCCCTGTGTCCCAGAAAGTCCATTTAAAATGGAATTTTCATCAGTTACTCTGTAATGAAAATGCAAAAGGGTATATTTTAAGTGAATCTGTCCAGAATCTTGGAAAAAGAGAGGGGTTATTTGGAAGCAAAACCACGACAGCCATGCTCTAAACAGGGAAAGGTGGTCTTGGGTTCCATTTCATACATCTACAGGGGATTTTCAGCTTTACAGAAAGACTTTGAAATTATAGAGGATTCACCACACATGTTCCTACTCCTCCTGCATTTGATACAAGCACGAATCAATCAATCATCATTATTCTGCACTAATACAACACCTCTTAACCCTTGGCTTTCAGAATATTTCAAAGGAGCAATGAATTAAACCTCATGTGGGCTTGGGAATATGTAATAATCTAAACTCTGATTCTTCCATTAAAAAAATAGGCATTTTCAGGGCTTTGATTTTGAGGGCTGGAGATCCTGTAACTTTCTTGGAAATGTCTTCATTTGTCACCCCCTTGGAAAGAAACCATGTGAGTACTAGGGAAGTGAGATGAAATGGAAAAAATGTATTTAGAAATCTTAAGTTAATACATTTGTCTGTACTTATTTTTGCTACTTCTTGGAGCAAAAAGACCTGGACACATCGAGGTGCTAATGTGATATAGGTATAAAAAAGGCAAAATTGATCCCTGTCTGTAACTAAAAGAGTGCACGGGGAATTATCATCGCCACTATACAAGTCTCTAGCAAGCCATCATTTTGAACATTACACTTTATGTCAGGCTCTGATGACTTGTGGTCAGAAAAGATGAATTCTGACTGAAACAAGTGCAGAGAAAGCTTATTAGATACTTCAAAACTTGCTGTTATGAAATAAAATGTAAATGGTTAATGTTTAACTTGGCAAAACAAAAGAAGGGATTTAAATGGTGTCTACAAATACACTGTGGGAGGACAACAAGTATTATTTAGATTAAAAGAAAGTTCAGCAATGTATGAATATATAGGGGACAAAAATAAATTTAGTTTTAACGAACAGAGAAATAGGATTCTGGAACAAAACAGCAAAAAAGGGAGATAGTTGGGAGGGTGAAGAGCCAGAACTATGAACCAGCGCCCAGCATGTGCATGGTAGGGTTGTAGGATTTGATTGTCAGAGACAGAAGCACTCTCAGGTCCATTTCTCTGGGCTTCATTTTACTGTTTTTCAGTTGAACAAAACATTTGGGTATCTCCCCAGCCACGGCGCTTTGTTTTAGGTCACTGAACTAATGTGAAACAGCTTGTTTGTGTCTCTGAGTCCTGCACTTTCTCTCCATGGAGCACTTCCCTGGTCAGTGTGGTGACCCTATGCTGGGATTTGTCCCCATGGGCCAGGCTGGACTCAGATCAGGACAGACATGTCTCAGAAAAGAGACATTTGAATCCTATTACAAAAGTGCAGACCTGTCTTGGAGCAAAGCAGAGCATGAGAGCACACACTCTCACTGTGCCATGAGCTGATTTGGAATTACAGTCAATAGAGAGATTTTTTTTTTTTAAATCTATCTATTCAAAGCAAAACATCTGAGTTAATGCAAGAAAACCTCCATTTGGTCAAATGTCCTTCCCTGCACCACCTACATGCAAGGTATTCCCAATGGGAAAACGGATTTTCACCCAGATTTCAGTTTTGTAGCAGTGTTTTCCATCAGAAAATCATTCCAACGGAAAATTACTAACTGGTTGTAGTACAAAGTGACTAGCGAGGCTCTCAAAATGATTCAGTGGTAAAGCTGGAATGAGAACCCACAGCTCCTGACCACGAACCCTGTGCTCTGACCACGAGACAACACTCATCCTTCCCTGAGCAAGGTTGTTCCTGCAGCGTTTCTGCCTGGGCCAAAGTGGGAATACTCTGGAAATGTTGCAAGACAGCTTTTTTGCTGCAAGATTTCCTGCTGTAGAATATTTGGGGGATAACGGGAAAAATCCCTGGTGGCTTCCTGGGGCCAGAAGTGTTTGGACATGATGGGAATGTGAGGGCTGCCATCTGCTCCTCCCTTCACGGGTTGTGGAAGGTCACGGAGGGATGTGGTGGGATCTGCAGTGTGCAGCCACGGCTGTGCCATGGCTTGGACTCAATGATCTCAGAGATCTTTCCCAACCTAATTGATTCTGTGATCTCTGTTTTCCAGGGATGCATCTGAGCGGATCCCACTGCCCTGTCCTCCCTCTATTTTAAGCAAACCTTAACTAAACTCAGGGTTTATTCCTCACATCAGCAGCTTCCCAGCTTTTTAGGCAAAACTCTCAGAGTAACTGTGCAGAACATCACACTCACGGCTCACAGCCCTGTTTTATTTATTTAAGAAGCAATTGCATATTTATGGGTCAGAGGGTGGTGGATGTCCTTAGCCCTGACATTCCCTCCTGCTTATTTAATATTATATATATTTATATATAAACTTCCATATTTACATATATTTATTATTATATGTACTCTTGTATATATATTTATTTTTCTGTATTGTGTATCTCCTTCCCGGGGCTCACCATGTGGCTTTTTGCACCACTCCAAGGCTTCTCTGACCGCCTGAATTTTGCAGTCCTTTATGAGAGCAACGGGGCTGAGAAATACGATATACCAACTCCTTTAGCAAAACAAGCCAACCCCCCGCCTTCTTTTGCTTTATTCGCTTTTAAACACAGGATAAAGGCGATTCCCTTCCTTCTGAGCCGATGCCCCTCAGAACCGGAGGAACCGTGCGAGGCCGCTCCCGCCTCTCCTTCCCTCCCCTTCCCTTCTCTTCCCGGCGCAGGCGCGGCCGGCCCGGGAAGGGGGAGCCCAGCGGGTTTCCCGGCAGCGGCGGGTTTCAGGGAACGTCCCCGCTCGGGGTGTGCTCGGCCCGGGTAGTGTCAGGGTGGACAAGTAAGTGACGGCGCTCGCCAGGGCCCGGCGGCCCCGGCCCCTCAGCGCGGCCGTGAGGGGAGCGCGCGCTGCCTCAGCGCGGCGGCGGGTCCCGTCCCTGCCCCGTCCTTGTCCTTGTCGCTGACTTTGTCCCTTCTCTGAATCCACCCCCCTCCTCGAGGGCTCGGATCCTGCTGCTAAACTGAGGTCTCGCGTTCGTGTTGTTGTTTAATCACCAGCCCCGCCTCCTTCCCCAGGGAGCCGCTCACGCAGCTTCGGGCCCCACGGCGCCCCGGCCGTGCGTGGGCTGAGCGATTTAATCGCTCCAAATCACTTCGCAGCCTGGTTTTCGTGGAGGTCGTGGGGTATCATAGGATTTACTTGTATAACTCCTACATTTAGTGGGAATGGGGCTGCCCTTCACAGCCCCCACTGCCGGGGAGGCATTTGAGGCTTCCCTGGGCTGGGCTGGGCTGGGCACACAGATGGTCCCAGTGCCTCCTCCTGAAGTGCTGGATCACCATTTCCCCGCAACCTTCCCTCAGATGGCAGCGCTGGGATGACCTGGTGGGCAGGTGGGATGTGCACATCACTCATACATTGGCCTAATCCTCCAGATCCCCGTGAGGTTTCCATAAATGCAGTTTCCAGTCTGGTATCTCTGGTGTCCCGTTTCCACCACTGCCTGTTCCATCCTCATGCAGCTCTGCTTTCTTGCACCTTCGCAATCTTGTCTCCTTCCCATGGCATTTGTTCCTGCCTTCCCGTACAGCTCATGGGTTGGCAGGGAGCCCATCCCAGTAACCTGCTGGAATTTGCTTGTGCTTGGTTCCAGAGCGTCCCATCACAGCCGAGTTCCTCTCTGGTGACGGGCTCTGCACTGACCTTGCAGATTCTTTCTCTGCTGAGGAGCCTGGGATTTGTTAGGAAGTTTAATAAATTTAGCACCAATGCCTCTTGTCTGGAGAACACTTAGGAAACAAATTCCAGGGAAGGAGAGGAGCTGGCTAAGTCATCTCCGAGGTTTTTAGAAAGTAATAAGCAACCACATTGCTGTGAAGGTGGTGTTGTCTTTTTTAATCCTCATATATTCTCTCATCCTGGAAGACCATTTGCTTAATTAGCTCAAATTAACTTTTTTCTAAATGTACTTAAATGTAGTACAAAAACATTGACATTTTAAAGGGTCTGTAATATTAATAGTGCCATTTCCTTCAGGAATGTGTATGAGCATGTAGTAAAAAAAAGTCACTTTTTTTCCCTGGGATGTGTGTCTGGGATAGGAGGAGGAAAGAGGAATACAGGGGGAATTGGGTGCTTGCAGGGACAGTTGTTCCCAGCTATAAGAATCGTGGAAGAAATAAATTTATAGTGCCAGAAGAGACTAAACAAAGTAGTTCTATGCTGGGAAGGTTTTATGTGTATTCTTAGCCACTTCTGTTACTCTGTTCTGTGTTTCTCAGCTAAATTACCATTTTAAAATGTTGATTCTTTTGAAAACATTCTCTTCCCAAATAAGGACTCTTATCCATTTTGTTTCTTGTACTATTTCAATAAGCCTGTTTTCTCTCTTTCCATAAGTCATCCTTCTTTCAAACGTTCTTTTGATTCTGTTAGAGGTTGATCTGTTTCCTAAGAACCTGTAGATTTACAGAAGAGGATCAGAATGGCTCTCCCGTGTGTTCCTGTTTTGTATCTTGGGCTTTTCTAATGACTCGACCTTTTTCCCTGGTACCTGCTACTGGAGCAGCCTGATGTGTAAAATCAACAGAAGTGGCACAGCCTTGGTGGAAATGACCTTCATTTGAAAGGTGTCTTGAGCTGCCTTCAGCTTCCCCTCTGCATTTCCATGTGTGAAAGGGAAAGTACTCAGACTGTTCATAAAGTCTGAGAATTTGTGACCTTCAGCTGTTTGAGGCAAGGGAGCTTTCCAGCTCTGGACTTCTGAGCTGTTTTGGGAAAGTCGTTGAAGGGAATTTACAGAGTGGTTAGGCCTGATATCCTTTCAGGCTTGGCTTTGTAAAAGTTTGGAGTTAAGAGACTGGTGGGCTCATTAAGAAGGCAGATTTTGCATTGGTAAAACCAAACGAACCAACCAAACTCCCCAGCTGTGTATGTGGGGAGAACTCACTGCTTCAGAGACAGGTGTGATTCTTCTTGCCCTGTAGAAAAGAAGGGGATGTAGACAAGCTAACATGTATGGTCTGTTTAAACAACAGATTTTTCTGCAGAATTAGTGTTTCTTTTAACCTAAGCTAATATGCAACCTCAATTCCTCTTAAGTAGTTGTGACAGGAACTTCAGGGCTAGTGTTTTTGGAATTGCAGCCCAAATAAATGTTTAATTTTGAACTGACGAATTACTTGGGGCTTTCACTCTTCCCAGGGTTTTGCTATGCAAGAGTGAACAAATACTGTGTAATAAACTGTGGATTCGGCTTATAGACACATGTTTGCTTCTGGGCTGAGCATCCTGAAAGAAGTGGTTTGCAGCATGTCTTTAAAAATTTATTTCACTGTTGCATCTACTGCTGGCCTAAGTGCTCCAGTATCTGCCAGGAGTAATTATAGGCAGTTGGTTCAGATGTTGCTTAAAAGTGTAAGCCTTGATGGGAAATGCAGTGGATTTCAGCCAGAATGCTAATTTTGATGTTTTGTCATTTCATAAAACTGTGAACTCAGAACAAATTATTTTTATACTGATCTGCTGGTACGTAATCACAGGGCTAGTGCCAGATTCAACCATGATGTAGCACTGGAATCTGAAGATGGGATTAAAGTTAGAATATCAGCATTAACCTAAGTTGGCCAATTCAGTATCCACAGTAGTATAATGGCTGTATTTGCCCAGAATTCCGTGTAATCCTGCATGGAAGCTCCTGGTCCGAGGCTGGTTTGCTCCAGGAATGCAGTTTAAAGCTGTTAAGTGAACTGTAATTGTGCCTTTTGAATTGCATCTACTCCCATGTTACATGTTATAACTTAAACAGATACTTTGCAAATTAACATTATTGTGCTAGAGCTGTGTTTATTTTATGCTTCTTTTTTTTCTGGCATGTTTTGTTGATTGTTTGGAGTTTTTTATTTGTTTCTCCATTTCTGTTATAGCATAAAAGAGAATGAAAAAAAATACAAACGTCACAGTACAGGACTGTCTCAATTTTACAGAGAAAGAACAGAGATTATTCTTTCTGTCCATCATGGGGTAGGTTAAAGTGATAGAGACACAGGGATAAAAAAAATCTTCCTCAGCATTAGATTAATAAGCTGGTGGATCCAAACACTTGGATCCATCAGTCATTTTGGAGCCTGTTACCTCCTTTCAACTAGTCATGAAGCTGCTACAGTCAGAATTTATGTAATAATCAGATGGCATTTTTCCCCCTCAGTCAATGTAAACAAGATAGTGTCTTCTTTCAGAGCTCCAGGCATCCTGCAGTGTCATTTGGGACATGTCTGGCTGCCAGATCATTAGCACAGCCTCTGGGGGAGCAGTGTCAGGTCAGGGAATGGATCTAAAGAGCTTGGTGTGCGTGGATTGTATCCATTGCCCTTTCCAGGATGTGGAGAGGAAAGGGTGCTCTATATACTCCCCCTTATTCTGTAGGTTTTCCTGTGTGAGAATTATGTCTTGACATAAACTGATCAACATTTCCTCTGCTTGACAGGTTGTAGGTTATGGCAAAAGTTCAAAATGCTGCCAACCTGTGAGAGCACCTGTGATGTTCACGAGCATCAGGAGTTTAATCCTGAGCTCCTAATGTGGCTGGGAATTTGGCAGTAATGGAAGCAGGATCAGACCCTGCTTTTGGAGTGATGGCTCAGTCCCAGCAGGGCTGGGAGAGCTCCTGAGGAAATTGGAGCCCTTGGGTTTCCTCAGTAGCCTGTGTCTTCTCATCTGGTTTTATGTCTTCCCATGGCCCTTTGCTCAGCCTTCCTTTTTCCTGAGAGCTCCTCTAGGCAGCTGTTTCCTGCTGTTCCCAGGGCTGGGTGAGCACTGGAGCAGAGGGAGCTGAGCGTGTTTCCTTTGTGTGGCAGAGTTAGGCTGGGGAGGACACGGGGTGTGCTGGGCATGATCCTTGTGCCTGCTGCTGGGGGGGGCCTGGATCTTCCTCCCAAGGAAAGCCAAGATGAGCCCTAAGCCTTCTCCAAGCATATAGTTGTGAGGGGCTCCTGGAGGCCAGTGTTTTGGGAACTGCCTGAAGTTGGAAATCCCTGGCCTTCCGTAGCCACCTCCATGCTCGAGAGCAGCACCTCTCAGTTGACACCAACACATTGTTTTTGAGCTGTATCTCTACTCCAAAGTGGTTTTGGGATCATTTGTGGCTGCTTATTAGTGCTTACTACTGCACTGTGTTACAGTACTTGTTACTGCCACATCCATGAACAGCCAGAGAGCAGAAAAATGCTTTTTGACTTATCTGACCATGTTGAGATTGCGAATTCAGCTCATCAGCCGTGGTCTGTGGAGAGCTGCAGTGAGCCCTCTGGGGATGATTCAGAATGCCATGGAATTGTGACTGCATGGAGAAGGTAAATACAGAGCAATTGCTTAATGTCTCCTCTAGCTCAGGAACTCAGACACATCAAACAAAACTAGCAGGTGGCACACTCAGAGCAAACCAAAGGGCTTTTTCTTGCATTGTTTACACAGAACTTTATAGTCCATTACCACAGTAGTTTGCAGTTACAAAAGTTTCCCTGGACTCAGAAAGAGCACCAACAAATTTGGAGAGGAAAAAGTCTTCAAGGTCTGCTAATCCTAAAGATAAAATTTCTGGCTCAGGAAGTGCCTCTGCTATAGATAGCAGGAGGAAGAAGGTGTCCCGGGGAAGGACTGCTGGATGAAAAGGGCAGGCATATGCTTTTCTTATGGCTGCTGCTGTCTGGGGCAGGATCCTGGGCTAATTGGACCTTTCATCTGACCCAGCACAGCCCTGCTTTGCTCTTTAATCAGGGGCCAGAATGCCATTGCTCTTATTTGATCATGGGCTGTGTCTGCCTGTGTGAGCTGAAGACAGG